GCCTTTGGTTGTGCTTCTCCTTGCTTGGCTGGACATCGCTCTTCCTGGCTCAACGGAGCTCGATGTTCGATGGACTCTGGTGTGAACTCGGCCACGAAGTCGGCCAGGACTTGGCCTTTGATTGCTGTCCTTGGCCTGTACTCCAGGTCATACTGGTCTAGGGTGACTGCCCATCTGGCTATTCTTCCTATCAGGTCTCCTTGTTGCAGTAAGGACTTTAAGGGGTGCTCTGTTAGCACCACAATTTTATGGGCCTGGAAGTAATGGTTCAACTTTTTTGAAGCCATTACTAAAGCTAGTGCCCACTTTTCTAAGGGCAGATACCTCGTTTCTACATCAGCTAGGGTTTTGCTTACATAGTAAACAACCCTTTATTCCCCTTTCTCTTCTCGAATTAGTACTGCACTTATCGCAAGTTCTGAAACGGCTAAGTACAGGAACAGCTCTTCCCCAGGTTCTGGATTTGAAAGAACTGGAGCTGTGGTCAAGTATTTTTTTAGGTCAGCCAAAGCGGCTTCGCATTCTTTTGTCCACAGGAAGTCTGTGGCTTTCTTTATCAAGTTGAAGAAAGGTCTGCACTTATCTAAGCTTTTGCTGATGAATCTGTTCAGGGCTGCGGCCCTTCCAGTTAGCATCTGCACTTGCTTTGCCGACGTCGGGCTCTTCAACTCTAGGATGGCCTTGATTTGATCTGGGTAGGACTCGATGCCCCTTTTGGTCACTAGGTATCCTAAAAACTTACCAGATCCAACTCCAAATGCACACTTCGATGCATTGAGTCGGAGTCGATATGTTTTAAGGATTTCAAAGACTGTTTTTAGATCGACAAGATGACCCTCAGGCTCCTTGGTCTTAACGACCATGTCGTCGATGTAGACTTCTACTGTTCGGCCAATCAGGTGCTTGAACATTTTGGTTACCAGCCTTTGGTAAGTTGCTCTTGCGTTTTTCAACCCGAAAGGCATTACTCTATAACAGTACAGGCCTTTTGGGGTGATAAACGCTGTCTTCTCTTCGTCTTGGGGGTACATGGCTATCTGGTGGTACCCCCTGTAAGCATTTAGGAAGCTCATTCTTCCATGCCTTGAAGTCGCATCTACTAGCTGGTCAATCTTTGGTAGAGGAAAGCTGTCTTTGGGATAGGCTTTTGTTGAGGCTGGTGAAGTCTACACAGACCCTCCATTTACCGTTCTTCTTCTTTACCACCACTGTATTGGATAGCCATGTAGAGTAGTGTACTTCTCTAATGGCCCTGGCCTCCAGGAGCCTGTTTACTTCTTCTTCTACTGCTTCGACGCGCATCAACGTCGGTCTTCTGGCTCGTTGAATTACAGGTTTGGCCAACCTGTCAACATTCAGTTTGTCGCACGTGACCTCGGGGTCAATGCCAGGCATTTCGTAATGTATCCAAGCGAACACCTCAATATTTGCTCTCAAAAAAGTTTCCAACTCCTTTTCCTCTTCTTCGGCTAAGCCCGAGCCGAGAAGAAAGAAGCATTCTTCATCCCCATCTTGGACGAGGATTTTCTTCAATGCCTCTTCGCTCTTCTCGGCTGGCTCTTTGCCGACGTCTTCTAGGACTTCCACGTTCTCGTCTTCAATTTCTGCCTTCTCTGGCTCTCACACGCTGCAGGTAGATTTCATTGCTGTCATGGAGCAATTCTTCGCCTGCAGCTGATCGCCTCTGACTTCTTCTATCCCATGCTCTGTTGGGAATCGTAATAGTTGATGCAATGTTGAGGGAACTGCCCCCATTGCATGCAACCATGGCCTCCCCAAGATGATGTTGTAAGAGGAGGGTGTGTTGATGATGGTGAATTCTGTCTTGATCTTTCTGGTGCCAGCCTGCACCTCCAAGCTTACTGCTCCCAGAGGCCATGTCGGCGTTCCATTGAACCCAACCATTGGGCCATTGGACTGTTCCATATCATCTTGGTGAAGGCCGAGCTCTTTGTAACATCGGACGTACATGATGTCGCAAGAGCTGCCTTGATCAATCAGGATGCATTTCACTTGGCACTCCCTAACCTGGAGGAATACTACTAAGGCATCATTATGCGGATGCTGGACCATCTCTAGGTCGGCTTCAGTAAAGGTTATCATTGGTCCTTGGCATTCTTCTGCCCGATGTCTTTTCTCCCCGACTTGGTAGACATGTTGCAGGTGCTTCACTTTCTGGGTCTCTCCTCGGATTTCGTTTTCGTTGACCTTCGAGTGGATTACGTTGACTATCCGAGGTCCTCCTACCTGAGGCTGTTGTACTGGGGGAGGTGGGGCTGCTGGTGCCTGAGGCAATCTTGTCCGTTCTTCCTTTATTCTGCTCTCATCGACAAGGTCTCTCAGATGCCTTTGTCGCACCAGATCTTCCAAATATGTTTTCAGGGCTCTACAACCCTAAGTTGTATGCCCATCTTCATTGTGGTAGGCACAATGCCTGCCAATGTTTCTTCCCATGAACTCTCCTGGAGTCCTTTCTGGTGTTCTGAAATAGGGCTGGTTCCGAATTTGATCCAGAACTTTGGAAATTGGGATTCGGAACACAGTTGTTACTGCTTGTGTGGCCCTCAGTTCTGCCTCTTGCCTGCTCGTTTCGTTGGTACCTCGGCCTCGCTTCGGCGAGCCGTTTCCTTTCTCTTGCTTTATCTCCCTGGTTCCCGACGTGTCTTCTTCGGCTCTGGCGTACTTCTCGATTCTCGCCATGAGCTCCTCCATACTTTTTGGCAATGTCTTTGCCAAAGACTTTCGTAGTGGACAGTTATCTTTCAAGCCATTCTTGAAAGATACGACTGCCACCTCTTGATTACATTCGGGTATTCGATTGAACACCTCATAGTATCTTTTTGCATAGGACCTAAGGCCTTCATCCTTGCTGATCTTCAGAGCCATTAATGTGTCCACCCTTAATGGCTGCAACTTGTTTGTCACAAACCTGGCCACAAACATCTCGGCCAGACCTTCCCAAGTCTTCACGCTTCCCTTTGGTAGTTTGTGAAACCAATCTGATGCAATCTCCCCGAAGGATGAAGGGAACACTTTGCAGAGCAACGGCTCGTTTCCACTATATAATGCCATTGAATTCAAATATAGTCCAACGTGGAAGTTGGGGTCTGACTTTCCATCGTATATTTGAAACCTCGGCATACTGAATCGCTTTGGTGCCTCAAATCTGTCTAATTCCACCGAGAATGGTGTCATCGGCTTATCTGGAGAGGTTACCTCGGCTTCGACATTCTGTTGCTTCCTCTTGAAGTAATCTCTTAAGTCTTTTTTGCTCCGCCTAGGAGCTCGGCTATCTTTTGACTTCAGTCTTTTCGGTACACTACTCTCGGCCTCGTGGTGAGCCCTTTTTTATCCTTCTTCATGAGTTGTGTCGAAGCACAATGTCTGCCCCTGAACATGCCGATGTCCTTTGGGGTCTGCCTCCTTTGTGCGATGCGTCCTCCGTGATCCTTCTCTTCTTGATTCTCTTCGTCCATCCTCCCTAGAAGGTTGGTGAGAGTATCTCTCGTCTCCGTTGTGCAGGCTACGGGGATTGTTTTCTGTCCTCCCTTGTGGGTATTGGCCGTTGGAATCGGCGTGTCGTGCAGTGGGTATGGTGGCTGCATGACGTTATTTTGCATCATGAAATTGACGACCGACTGCAGGTCTGCCAATTTGTTTTCCATCTCTTTTACCTCTTCGTCCCTCTGTAGGCACCTATCCTTCCAAACCTGGAGGTCGTCTTCGTTGTAGTACCTGCTTTGATTAGGTTTCTTTGGTGCGTCGCTAGTCTGGCCGACGTCTTTCGCTCCGTGATTTTGTTCATGAGTTTTTGCGTTTGACCTTTCTCCTTCGCCATCGAGGTCAATAGGTCTCCCACTCCCAGCAGGAGTGTCGTCCCCAATCTTTTCCTTCTGTCCGTTACTGTCCATCTATTCTACTTTTGTTCCCACAGACGGCGCCAAATTGTGTGGGTGATTTTCTGACCATACTGCAATCTTAGTATCCAGCTGGAGAGCACCGGCAGAATAGATGGCACCTGACTAACCTGCAATAGAAAGAGAAGACTCCGGCGATGGTTCGTTCATCTGGGGGCACTCCGACGATCAAGTCAGAATATCTCTGAAAGATAAATCAAGTGCTAAACTCACAAGCTTGAGTATCAAAAGCATGAAATTGCGTACCTTAGACCCACAGGGGTGCCTCTCTTTTATAGTTACCTCAATCCTAATCCCAATAGAAGCCTGACTTCTATGGATTCCTGTTTAATACTTGCTTTGGACTCCTTTAGAGATAGATATAAACTCCCTAAGAGCTTTATCCTTATCTTGGCTAAGTCTCCTCTTTATTCTAGGACTCTTGTCCCTTATCTCTTATCTGCTTATCTCGGATTCCGATATCTTCAGAGATAACCTCAGCTTGATCGAGATCACCTCGGCGTTATGACCCTGACACATGGCACCTCAGCTGACACGTCGGTGTCACCTTACCATGTGTCGGTGCTCAAAAATATATCCCCACACATACCATTTTCCATAGAATTTCCCTTTATATTTTGTGTTAAAATGTGTTACAGACTTATCTCACCGATAAAGGAATTTTATTTTTTATTTTTTTGGTCTGTAAAGTTAGATTATTACAACAGGTTCTCCCCACTCCATTAATTCGGAACCTAAGACCTCACTTTACGCACGATCACTTGGACTACGATCCGGTCAAAGTCACGATCACTTGGGTTACAACCCAAATCTGCATAAAAAGTTCAACATATATAAGAGAACTTTTCAAATTAATACATCTAGTTATCTTGTTGAGGGTTGAATTTCTTTCAAGTTTAAATCTAAATTTGAGAAAACTTGAGGCCTGTGAGGCTGATCATCACGTGTTTTATTTTGATGATTTGAACTATTCATTTTATAAAACCTAAGTTTATATTATCCATAAAATAAAACAAAAAATAACCGTCAAATATGTTGTTATGTATTTGTTTCTAATCCCTTGATTGGGTAATTTATTAGCAGGTGTGGAATGTACCCTGACATAGAGAAGACCACCGCTACAACCACCATAGCTGGTGTTGCACCACCAGTGACTATGTATGCATATATTAATTATCATTGAACTTTTTTGTTTTTTGTTTTTGTTTTAATAAAACATATTGATTAGTTTTCCAATGAAAAATATATGAATTTTAAATTGTACAACCTTTCAGGTACTCAGAGGGGTCTGAGAAGAGCTCTGGAGCTGGAGGAGGCCATGGTTGCAGCTGTAACCCATGCAAGTGTAACCCATGTAATTGTTAAAATGACTAAAATGGGTTCCAATTCCAAGCCCCAACCAAAGTACCCTTATATATATAGTTTGATATTAAAATAAAAATAAATAAATAAATAAAATTGGGGTTTGGGTTTTTATGTATGTGGATTTTGGGGTTTTAAATGCGATAAAATAAGACAGGCATGGACGTGGTGTGTTCTTGTGAAGTTTGTATTTGTGTCTGCTTTGTGGGATTTTGAGTTTGATGATGATGATGTATTTGTGAAAGGAGGGTTAAATTGCATGGAAAACAAATTGATGTATGAAATATATAGCCCCACTTCAATTGTTGCCTAATATTTGGATCACTACCCAGCATTTAAAAATATAAAATAAAATATAAAAGCTCTCAATAATTTGGATGATCGACTATTTGATTGCTTGAAGGTCACTGATTGACTTAGTATATGAGATTTTTCCTTTCACTTAACATAACACAACTTGAATTTTTATTATTAGACTGTAATTTTTTTTTTTATCAGCAAACAAAGACTTTATTAATGTAAAAGGCACAATACATGCAAAACAACATCAACAAAGCAGGGAAATGCAAAGAACATCATAGTTAACCTCTACAATCCCAACTAGGTTGGCACCACAGAGGAAGCACAATCATATGTTAGCACTTTACCCAAGATTGGTGGGAAATCAATCAAAAGCACCCAAAAAAGAAAAGAAAAAAAGACATAACAGTAATAAACCTAGTAGAACAAGACTCTAGTAGCAACATAAGCATAACAACAGCACCAACTGATTCCTCTGAGGTGAAATTGTGAAAGAGCCACAACATTAGCAAAACAGTGCATGAATAGAAGCACACCCCAGCAAACTCCTCTACCTATAAACAACATCTCACTTGATTCAGATTAGCCACAACATCATGCATTGTATAATGAATCTCTGGCAGCCCAAACTTGGCCCACAGCCCAACCTTTACTTTCACAATTTCACCAAGCTCATCGATATTAGGCTAGCTCCCTTTAATGACACAATCATTTCTTAACCTCCATACTGACCACAACATTGCAATTCGAACAAGCCTCCAAATCCTCATAACTGACTTCTTAAATTTTGTTCCCAGCCACCATAATAGCACACCATCAACTGTAGCAAGAATGGACCAAGATACTCCCCACCATTGCAGCATAGATGACCAAACCTTCCAAATCTCCGAGCACTGCAATAGAATATGATCCACTGACTCTGTTTCTAGCTTGCAGAAAGGGCACAAATTCTCCACATTGTTACTTAAGGCCCCAAACCTCTAAAAGACTAATTGTTTTAACCCTCCCCCTCCATGCCAACTAGCTCAAAAAATGAGCTTTTGGTGGAGCCACACCTCTCCATATCAGTTTAGGAACCTACAATTTTGGGCCTTGAATTAACTCATACCACTTTCTCATAGATGCCACAGTTGTAGACACCCTATTTTTGACCATCCTCAAGACACGGACGTCACCGCTTGAACACTCGGTGATCATCCTTGTTTGTGTTTGTCTTGAGTTCCCGAAGGTCTTGGCTATGCGCCTTGCCTCAGGATCTCTTACCTTGACTGTTTTGTGTTTGGTTTTGCACCAAACACTTGTGATTTGCCGTTGAGGGGCAGGGAATGGCTTGTTGACTATCCCCACACATCACCGGCCATGGCTTGAGGCCACCGGCCACTAGTTTGTTGCCACCGGCCAAATGTTTGGCCGACCGACACTTTTTGTAGTCAACCGGCCATCTATTTTGGTCATATTGCATTTTTGGCCAGCCGACCACTATGCATCTGCTTTTGGCAGATATTTTGTGCCAGCTGTGATAGTTGGCACCCACTTTGCTCCCCTCCATACACGTGTATGGAGGGATCTCCCTCTTGACTAGCTTACTTGAGAAGCTTTACAAGAGTGAGCTTCTATAAAGAGGAGGCCTCTCCTCCCTATTCTAGGGTTAAAAAGAAGCTCCAGAGGTCTGGATCTTTTTAGGGTTAGAAGTGTGTCTATTCTATCTCTATACTTTCCTCTCATTGTGTATAAGTGTGTGTTTGTTCATAGTTTTGCACATAAACACCTACCATTACACCTTCCCTTAATTGCTGAGGCTTTAGAGGGTTGATCTTGGACTTTTTGAGTTGGTTTTGATCCAAGAAGGGGTCTGACCTTGTGATCTTGGAAGTGTTCTTCAAGGGTGAGTGTTCTTGCCTTTTATTCCCCATTTTTGCATAGCTTTTTTGCCTATCTTGCAACTATTTTTAGACTTTGCATATAACTAATAAAAGTCTTGTTTCTACTTGCTTAAAATAGTTGTTTAAGGGTGTTTTGTTGTTTGGGGTTGTTCGACCCCTCTTAGGGCTTGTTTGGCCCCATTTTTGTGCTATTTTGGTGAGCTCCAGGACCACCTTGTTTGGGCCTCCTCACCACTGAAATCTTGAGGGATTTCAGTGGTGAGGATGGTGGTTTAAGGTCCTAAGAAGGAGAGGGCCACCCCCTCTCCTTGTTGTCTTCAAAATGTGCCATTTAAGCCTCATGTGTGAGCACCATTTTTGAACTCATGTTGGCCATGTTTCAGTAGGTATTTGGTAGTATTTTTCCATGCTTTACCTCTATTTTTACTTGGTTTATACACACCATGCTTGCCTTGCATACATGTCATGTAATGCCATATTTTTTGCCTTAACATGCTTTAGGTTTTAACCCTTGTTCTAGCATGATTTCGGCCTAGCTTTGTGAAGCTTTTATGCTTGTTTTAGTGTGCTTGAGGTCTGTTTTTGGTCATTTGGGTCATCCATGCTTCGCTTTGTATAGCTACCATGTAATCCCTCTTGTAGGCCTTAGGTATTGACCCCTCTAGCATGCCATCATTGCATCATTTTAGTGGTTTGGAACCACTTGTCATGTCATTTCAGTCCTTATGATATGCTCGTATGCTTGCATTTGATGCCCCTTTCATACTTTAAAAGGTTGGTGTTTCTTGCTCCATGTTTGTGCCATTATGTATGCCTCTAGGATTAGATCATTTAGATGACATCTAAGTGGTTTTTGGGGCTTATTTTTCATGATTTAGGACTGTTTTAGTTCATTTTGGTCATTTGCTTCATATGTCATATGGCCATGGTTTAAGTCCTTAGGCTTGGTGGCATGCCTAGCTTGCATTGTAGATTGGTTTGGCACCTTCTCTAACATGGCTTTCAAAGCTTATAATGCATGCCATTTGTCCATGTTTGCATCCTCTTAAGTGTGCTTGAGAGTTGCTTCTATATCCCTAGGTGTTGGTCCTTGTGTGCATGCATGTTTGCATGTCATTTTGCCTTCATTCTTGAGCATATTGGCCACTGTTTTGGGCTTAGTATAGAGCTGTGCAAATTAATCTGAGTCCATAGTTCGCATGTTGTTGCATGCTCACCTTGTGTGTTGTTGCATACTTGTGTGTTGTCACATGTTTAGGTTGTCTAACATGTTTGCTCCATGTGTTGTGGCATGATTGAATGAAGTCACATGCTTGCTTGCATGCTTGAACATCCCCATTGTATTTGGCATACTTATTGGTTAGCACGATCGTCACATGCCTTGTATGCTTGTTCGCATTGCTCATGTTGCATACTAGCTCATGCGTCTAGGTTGCTTTGCATTGACATGCATGCTTAGCCTCTTGAATTGAGTATGATAGAGGTTGAGCTCCTTACTTGTTTATGTGCATTTCATTTGAAATCAAAGTGCATAACTTGGTTTCTTGGGCCGTCACACATCGAAATGCGCGATTGGTGGTCCGAGAACCGAGAACCATGTCCCTTTGAGTCATAAACATGATAAGGGATATGTTGGTGCACACATTTGCTTGGAATGCATTGCCATGCCTTGTTTTGCCCTCTGCTGCTGTGAAAACAGGGTTTTGTAGGAAGATTTGTCCGGCCGGCCATCTTCAATGCCGACCGACCAACAATTGGTGGCCGATAGCTTAAAAAATAGGTGATCATTTGCATTGGCCTGTTACCATTTCCCTTGGCCGGTGGTATCCCGCAGGGTTCATAGAGTGCACCTTGGGAATTTTGCAATGATCAGAGAAGGAAAACAGTGTGGACAAAGGCAACTTGTGCATGATAGTGGACTTCCGAGCGGAGCCGAGCACGCATTGCATTGGGCCCTCTCCCCGAGGCTGTTTACTGTTTTATTAGATTAGTTAATTTGCTTAACTAGTTTAATTGGTCTGTAATATTTAATTAGCTTGTAGGTTAGTTAAATCTGTATTATTCTTTCGATCCCTCCGAGCGAGGGCAAATTTGTAATAAGTGTAGGTGCGTATGTGCATGTCTTCCAACCCCCACTTCTTTCTCCCTTTTACTTACCTGCTTTGATGGTTAGTACTAGGGCATATTTAATTTAGCATCCTTATGCTATGCATGTGTGCATCATTCATCAGTATTGCATGCATCGGGCTCAGCGCATCATACTAACTACATAGTATTTCAAATCTAACTTGAATATGTGCATCAAATGGTTGCATTTCACATGTAATCCTAGGATTAGCCGAGCCTATCCTAATTGCATTCTGTATGCGTTGCATTAGGCACTTAACATGGACTTGGATCATATATTGATTGCAAACGAGTTCTTTGTTTTGGCTTGAAGTACACTGTAAGTATTTTGTGCTTTAGCATCTCGCACGAGTGTGAATGTTAACATAACAGCATGCTTACCATGTGGCTAGATGCTTATGCGATATGAATTGCCTGAATGCCTGTGGGTGAAGGTTGGATTGCGTGAGTTGGAACAACTCATCAAAATCCGTGTTTTAGCCTACTCGCGAGTAGCAAATTTCAAAACATTTTCCAAACAAACGGATATGTGATGCTTTGTTTGAAATTAGGCGATCTAGTCTATACTTGTTTTGCTGTGCGCATCACATAGTAATTCTAGCTAATTAATCGGAATAAGAACACATAACGTTTTCAAAATTGGATATCATGGTTAGTAGAGGCCGATCTTCGGATCAGGAGAGAGGGGGTGCTCATAGCTGACCTTCCCCAATCGTACCCAAGTTCTCGAGCCGAGGCAGCTTTGGTAATGACGGACACGTGGCCTTAGGCAAACGGGTCACGGTTTCCTAAATTCCCCCATTAAAAAATATTTAGGTGGCGACTCTGTATCTGGCAAAGCAGTCAATGTCTGACACTTCTTTTCTAAAAATC